CCCGAGGCCGTCCGGGGACCTCGGAGGGCCGGTGCGCCTGCTTCTGGGTCTGGCAGTGCCACGTCGGGGGGCACGGGAGGGGGCCAGGGTCGGCAGGGCGCCAAGCCCAGGGCAGGCTCTGAGAAGGGCAGTGCCAGCAGCAGGGAGGGGAAGACCACCGTGTGGATCTGAGTCCCCGCCCCCACTGCTCTTAGTCCTCTCCCGCCACCTTGAGCCGCCCTGGCCAGGGGTGCTCAGCCCTTCCCTAGGAGCCTCCTTGGGACCCAGTTGGCGCCTCAGGACAAGGGCTCCAGACAGAGTGCCCCTCTCCTCCCTGTTCCACTGCAGCAGCCCAGGTGTGACGCCCAGGAGTGTTTGGCCGGGGCGTTGGGCGTACAGCGCCCAACTCCCTGCAGCAGCAAATGGGGCTCCTTCCCTGGCTCCCTGACCCTCCAGCCCACGTGCTGGTTCCTGCAGAGTCGAAAGCAATCCCAGGTTTTCCTCCTACAGCAGAGGAAACCCAGGCAGGTCAGGTACAGGCCTTCTGCGCCCCGCCCTCGGCTGCGCCTCCTTCCGTCTCGGTCTTCTGCTCATCCTCCAGCCAGTGCGGGGGAACCTGCACCTTTTTCCTGGTTTCCCGCCCAGACAGCCGAGCCGGCTGAGGCCCAGGAGTTTCGCAGCCACGCCCGCCTGAGTTTCGCGTGGCCTGACAGGGCCCCTTCCTCTGAGACAGACTTGGACTTCCTCAAAGACCTGGATCTGCCTTGCTGCTGAGACCAACAGGCTGGTAGCCAGGGGCTGCAGCTTCGGAGGTGATGGGAAAAGGCACTCTGGGCTCCTGCCCAGGGCCTCCCTGCCCTCAGGCCCCTTCCCTAATTCAGACACAGCGTCCCAAAGGCATAAAATAAAAAGCTAACTTTTGTTTACAACCCTATGTGTGCATATGTGGTCTGTGTGTGGATGCATGTGTGGTGTGTAAAAGTGTGCATGCACCTGTATATGTGTGTGGTGTATACACACGTCTACATGTCCATCGCTGGCCTCTGAGGACACAGCTCTGCTCCAGGCTGGCTGAGAGAGCAGCTCGTCAGAGACACGTGGGTACAGCTCAGTGCCAGGCAGCAGGCGGGGAGGGCGCCAACAAGCACGAAGATGGTGAACAAGAGCAGGCCCTGCCCCCATGCTCAGAGCCGAGGTTGGCCTGTGGCTCAGGCTACAGAGGGGCACTGCTGTGTTAGGCCCCAGTATGATCTGGACAGTGGCCAGAGCCTGCAGTAATGGTTTTGGAGAGGGACAGATGTGGGTACAGGAGGCACGGGTTGGGGAAGAGAAGCTGCTGCCAGCAAGGAATCACCTCCGTCTAGACTTCGGTGACCCTAGTTGTTTCCCAGCCTCCCTTAGGCCCAGGGCAGCTCCTAACAGCCTCTCGCAGCTGCAAATCCTCTCTTTGGTGTCTTGGGGCCAAGCCTGCCTCTGGTCCGATGCCAACAGCAAGCTGAGTTCCTCTTCTGTGCGGGGTCTGATTGGCTGAGCCCTGCTCCCAGGGGAGCCCCACCCCAGGAAGAACTGAATGCAAGCCAGTCTGGATCTAGAGTAGGGGTGCACCACTCACCTCTCCACGAGAGAGAGGTCCATGGAATCAGCAGTCCCAGACTTGGGGCTGTGCTCCTGGCGGGATCATCACTAGGGAGGCTGGATCCATGGGGTGGTGACCATGCTGTCCAGCCTTGCCTGGCCCCCATAGGTGTGACTGGGCACAGTGAGTGGCAGAACTGGCCACAGACACCTGCAAGGCACCCTGTGTGCCCCGCACCCTCTCCATGGCCCCTCTATGTCCCATGTCAGCCTTCTGCAGCTGGCTTTCTTTTCAGTGGAGCCCCTGGAGGACCTCAGGGCCTCAGGGAGACAGATGGGCATCTGGGTGGGGAACAGTGGAACACAAAGTTTATAATAGTCCTAGTGGCTGCAGAGGGCCAGTGAGGAAGGCAGGCGCACATCCCAGCAAATCTGGGAGGCTGGCCTGGATCCTGAAAGTCAGCACTCGGGCATCTGACAGTAACAGGATCCATGAGGGGGTGGGAGGGGTAGGAGGAGGGGCTCCAGCATCCCAGCATCCATCTGAAAAGGAGCCATGAAGCCAGCCAACAGGGGAGGTGCTTGGTTAAGAACATTCTGGATTCGAACATTCCAAACAGGATGTCCACACATTGGTCTTCTCCTGTCCTTGGACTTGGACTTGGGCCAGAGCTTAGGCTACCAGCTCTCCTGGATCTTGCAGATGGCAGATCTTAGGACTTCTCAGCCTCCACCACTGCATGAAATAATCCCTTCTAATAAATCTCTCTATATATAGCCAGTTGGATCTGTTTCTTTGGAGAAACCCGATTCACACACCCCAACAGTCAGGGCTGGTTAAAGGGCATCCCAGCTGTGAAGGAAGCTGCAAACGGAGGCTCTGTCAGCTCAGGCTGTGTCACAAGTTGGGGGCTTAAACAGACATTTATTCCTCCGAGTCCTGGTGGCTGGACATCCAGGGTCCAAGTGCAGGCAGGGCTGGGTCTCCTGAGGCCTCTCCCCTTGGTGTGTGGATGGCCATCTCTTTAGTGTGTCCTGACATGGTTGTCCCTCTGTGCGTGTCTGTGTCCTGATCTCTTTTTATAAGGACATCAGTCATGTGGGATGAGAACCCACCCTAAGCAACCTCATTTCACCTTACCTCTTTAAGGCTCATCTCTAAATATAGCCCCATCTGAGGTCCTGGGGTTGGTCTCCACCCTAAGGCATGTGCCCAACTCAAACTGCGATCACTACAAGAGAAGACACTGGCCTTCTGTTCTGGGGACTTAGGGCCTTGGTTGTACCACTGGGGTCCTGTCAGTTCTGTGAGTTTTCGATGGCAGTGTCTTAGGTTCTGTTGTCACTGGTTATCCCAGGCCTGGGGAGCCAACCTCTGTGTCATCCATAATCCCACCTCTAAGACCAATTCCTTGATGCTGTGACACAACCACAATCTCATGTCTGAGCCGATACCCTAACGTGGGTGGCCATTTCCCCCTTGGGACGTGGTGTCTGAGATGCTCAGTTCTGTTAACTCCCAGAGGTGGAACCCAACCCACCACTCAACATGGTACTTTGTGCTTACTTAGCTACTAAAACAAATAAAAATACCCTGGGTTTCCTCATCCACCTTGGATGGCTCTGAGGATGGAGGGTTGAACCTGGGTATAGAATTGTCCCCTCTACTCATCCCCGTCCTCTGGGCTCAGAAGCAGGCTGGCAGGATAAACCTCAGTGCCTGGCAGTGTCCCCAGGCTTCATGGGGCCTGCCTAGGTCCATGCTGGGGCAGGGAGGGCCAGGGGAGTGGCTGGGGTAGGACCAGACAGAATGGCCTTCTTGTCTCATTCTCATCCGTTTCCATAGCCAGAGCCAGCTTCCCAGCTGCTCAGGGAGACCACAAAGAGCTATGGGGAGGGGGTCCTCCAACACCCCCAGAATGGGGCAGCTTCCTTCTCCTGCCTTTGGGAAGGGAGGAGGCCACAAAGAGAGAATAACAGGAAACCACCCTGGCCCAGCAACAGCTGGGAAGTGGGGTCTGGACCCCCACGCCTGCCATTTTCCAGCTCTCATCTCCCCACCCCTCCTGACGGCTCCAGGCCCATGGCCTCAGAGAGTTGAGCACACATGAGATCCAGCTATAGTCTCAGCCTCTGCCTAGTTCAGGTCAATGAGTGGGGTTCCCTAGGATCCTCCTGAGGCCACAGCCTCCTCTCCCCCCAGAGCTGTAGCGTAAGAAGCAGCAATGGGGACACCTGAGAAGGGGTAGTAGCTGTGAGGTGCCCGTGTGCCAAGGTCCCTGGTGTTGGGCTGGCCAGGTTGCTGCAGAGACCCAGGAAGGCTTCTTGGCGGAGAGGCCCTGGAGCATTGCTGACCAGCAGACTCTGGGATGGTGGGAGGTGCTGTCTGCTCCATCTATTGAGGCAGCCAGCAGCCACCAGCTACGCACGTCCCCAGGCACATCAGTGAGGCCATCTGGGGAAGAGCTGGAAGGTTCATTTGATGTCATTTGAATGTATTTGCATTTAAACAGTCCTGGTGGTGGAGCAGACTGGGCTTGGAACCGGATCAGGAGGTCAGGAAGGTTCCAGGAGGTCCCAGGTTGCCTGCTGGCCCTTCCTGCAGCAGGGCCAGTAGGAAGCAGGTTTTTCTGCTGGCTGGGGACAGGCTGACGTGAGGCTGGAGGAACTTGCCTCTGTTGTCCCCAGAGGCTGGTAGGGAGGTGCCGGGTCACCCATGGAATGTGAGGCCAGCAGAGGAAGACCTCCACAAAGGGCCATTGGCCAGGGGAGCCACATACCAGGCCGGGCTGGTCATAGTCAGGAAGCTGGCTGGGTGGGGGACTGAAGGCCTAGGGGACCGGGGGGCTCCGGGCAGGCTGCTTGTGCCTCTCGCCATGCAGTCGGCCCTGCTGGGAAATTGGGACTTCAGGGCTTGGGCAGCACGGCCTTGAGGAGGGTTCGGCCCCGAAATGGGAGCTAGATGAACAGAGGACCGGTGAGGAGATAGCACACAGATAGACAGGGCAAAATGTCAACAATTGCTGAACCTAGGTGAAATGTGATACAGTTTATTATTCTTTCACAATTTCTGTAGGTTAAAATTTTCAAATAGAAAGTTGGACAAATGCTTCTACAGTTGGTCAGAGTAGCTCTGCTGGGAGGCAGCACCAGGGTCCAAACTTGAGGTGAGGGCAATCCATGTGCTGTTGCGGGGGGTCTGTGGTGGAGAGAGAACAGGGATGGGAGGCAGGAGAGGGGCCAGAGCTGATTCTGATGATCCCAGAGGGGAGTGTGGGGCTGCAAGCTCTGTGGGGGTGAGTCTAGGTAACACATGGGGACCTCCTGGATTTGAGAGGTGTGCAAGTGACACCAGGTGCAGTGGAGGGTGGGATGCTGGGTTCTGGAGCAGTTGTGCTCTGGGGAGATGTGGAGGTCACACTTGTACCCACACAGTAAAAGTATCAGATATGCTGGGGGTATGCCAAACAGGCCATGGGGTCTGGAATTTGGGAGGAAATGCCTGGACTGGAGACATTACTTGGAGCCGTGGGCTTGTAAGCACTATGAAATTGTGTAGCTGGATGAGGTGGTGAGGGGAAGGGTGGTAGAGAGGCTGCCAAGGATGCCCCTGACCCGACACTATAGGCCAGCATGGTGCTACTCTGAAGGGCTCTGACTGGTGGATTGGGGCAAGAGTGATGGTGATCCACGGAGTCCAGGCCTGCCAGATCATGGAAGCGGGAAGCGGGCAGGGATAAAACACAGAAAGGGCTGTAGGGGTCTGTGGCCAGTTTCAATTTGCCATCTTGCAGTTTCCTGGGGAGAGCGGGGGTGGGTTTCACAGACAGTGGGTTAAGGGCCAGTACACAGGCTCTCAGTTTTCTTTAAAGGGAAGCAAAGAACTGGGGATGACAGCTGATGGGGGAGCAGGGTTCAAAAACTGTGCTTGGTGCTAAGGGCTGAATTGTGTCCCTCAGTATCCACATGTGGAAGCCCTAACCCTCAGTGTCATTGTATCTGGAGATGAGCCACTAGGGGGTTATTTAAGGTTAAGTGAGATGATAAAAGTGGGGATCCCATAGGACTTATGTCCTTATGAGAAGAGACACCATGAGGAGGCACCATCTACACACTGAGGAGAGAGGCCCCACCAGAAACCTGCCCTGACAGCACCCTGATCTTGGACTTCCGGCCTCCAGGGCTATGAGAAAAATGAACGTCTGTTGTGTAAGCCGCCTAGCCTGTAGTGTTTGTTACACAGCCTGAGCTGAGTGGGACACTTAGGAAAAACAATGTGAAGATTTCTAGAAAAATTACACATAGAATTACCATCTGAGCCAACAATTCCACTATGGTTATATACCTGTGATACCATGATTTATAATAAGAAATATATATTGGGTCTCATACTGTTGCTGGCACAGATCCTAAAACCCTTGGAATTTCCTGTGATGAGAACCATAAAGGTATCTTTTGTTGTGTGAATGAAGTGACTTTGGAAAGCCCCTAACGAAAGGGGCTGGTTGCCAGGGGGAACCAAGCAGTGATTAGAGGGTTGGAACTTTCAGTCCCTGACCTCTGGGGATGGAAGAGGGGGTGGAGGTTGAATCAGTCACCAATGGCCAGTGATTTAATCAATCATGCTTGTGTAATGAAGCTGCTGTAAACACCCGAAAGGGTGAGGTTTGGAGAGCTTCTGGGTTGGTAAACATGTGGAGATGCAGAAAGAGTGGTGGGCTCAGCGAGGGCAAAGAAGCCCCTTGTCCCTTCCCCCATACCTTGCCCTGTGCATCTCTTCCGTCTGGCTGTTCCTGAGTTATATCCTTTATAAGCCCATGAGTTCTGTGAGCCGCTCTAGCAAATTAAACCCAAAGAGGAGGTTGTGGGAACCTCCATTTTAAGAACAAGTGACAACCTGGACTTGTGAATGGTGTCTGAAGTGGGGGCAGTCTTGTAGGACTGAGCTCTTTACCTGTGGGGTCTAAGGCTATCTACAGGCAGGTAGGATCAGAATTGACTTAAACTGTGGGACACCCAGCTGGCTTCAAAGAACTGCTTGATGTGTGGAATGACCCCCTCAGACACGCACATTTGGTGATCAGAAGTGTCAGAAGTGAAGGGAATGTAAGAGTAAAGGGCACAGAGCAGTGGGTTTCCTTACACAATGCCAAAAGGAACTGAAAGCAGGAGCTTGAAGAGAATCTGTGCACTGGTGTCCACAACAGCACATTCACAATAGCAAGGGTTGGAGGCAAACTCCATGTCCATCGACATGTGAATGGGTAAACAACGTAAAGGGATGTTATTCAGCCTTAAAAAGGAAGGAAATCCTGACACACTGTGAATGAGCTTGGAGAACACTGTGGGCAGTGGCATCCGCAGTCACAAAAGGAGTCAGGTTCATAGAGATAGAGAGGAGTGGAGGGGGGATTCCAGGAGCTGGGGAGAAGTTGGGTTGCCAGTCTGATGGGTGTGTGTTTGGGTGGGGGGTCAGTTTGGGAAGATGAGAAAGTGCTGGATGGTGGGGATGGCTGCACGACAGTGGGAATGCGCTTAATGCTCCAGAACTGTGCACATGAATAGCACTAAGACCGTAAAAAGCAAGCAGAAACTGTTCTGATAACCCACCAGCAGGCCATGGCAGGTGCGCCCAGAGCCTGGACCAGGACCCAGCCCAGGGGACAGGTGGGGCAGCGTGGGGCTGACGGACAGCCCAAGGCCCCGCCTCACATACACCTCCAGCACACACGTGTCGCCCCCGCTCCGCCCAGGCACACGCTTTGCCCGCCCGCCGCGAGGGGCCGCTGTGGTACCCGCCCGCCGCCCCGGTCACCCCTTCCCGCCGCCTCACTCGTGCGTAAGATGGCGGCCGCGACACTGCTCCGGGGCGCTGCTCCGGGGCGTGGCGGCTCGGCCTGGCGCTGGCAGCTGCGCGCGGCTCCAAGGCACCGCCTGGCCCACGGCTCGGGCTGTCAGGGTGGCGACCGTGCAGGCGGCGCAGCCTGGGCCTGCTTCCCGCTTAGAGAGCGCGCCCTGGTGCGCGTGCGCGGGCCGGACTCGGCCCCGTTCCTCCTGGGGCTGCTGACCAATGAGCTGCCGCTTCCGGGTCCTGCGGCGGATGCGGCCCCGCCTTTAGTACGCGCGGTCTACGCCCACTTTCTCAATGTCCAAGGACGCACGCTCTATGACGTCATTTTCTACGGGTGAGGGCGAACACCCGCGAGTTTGCGAGAAGGGGACCGTGTGTGTGTGTGTGTGTGTGTGTGTGTGTGTGTGTGTGTGTGTGTGTGTGTGTAGGGGGGTGTTAGAGGGAGGGTGGAGAGGCGGGGCACTCAAGGGAGGAGTGGGAGCTGGGATGAGGGGGTACCCAGGGAGAGGGCACCTGAGGATGGGAGGGTCACCGGTGGGCCCACCCCGGTGGAGACCGCACCGGTAGGGCATTTGGAGAGGGACGCGTGGGGCAGGCATCCAGGGAGGGCACCTGAGGATGGGAGAGGCACCCTGGAGGAGGGCACTCGGGCAAGGCTCCTTAGTGGGGCAGAAGGACACCCAGGGACAGGCCCGCGAACGGCACCTGTGGTGGAGTCTTGGGTTTCCCTGCGCCTGGCTTCTGCTCCGGCTCAGCCTTGCGTTGGTCGCCCTGTCTGCACTGCACAGAACAGGGGTCAGAGGCTTCTGAAGCCATGACTGCAGGGAACAGCCTCTGCGTGACCGGCTTGTGCCACGAATTCTACAGTGTCTTCTGCATTTCCCTCCCCAGTCAACCCATGTCCAGTGAGATACGTGTTTGGTGTTTTACATCAGCCTGTGTTGACATTATCATGATTTATGTGATGATCACGGGGCCACGGCCTCCGTGCAATTCCAGACCATATATCGGAAGCCATGCTGGGCCACTCCTCTCTGACCAGTCCTCTAGGCCTGCACCCCTGGGAACTCTCATGTCCCCCTCCTGATGTGGATGCATCTGTATCTTTCTTAGTTGACTCCTGCATCTATAGGAGCACATTCTTTAGTGACTTGTTGAGAGGTGGGATACTTTAAGTGGACTTGGACTCCTTACAGCTCTGCAAATGGTCTTCCTTAATAGCTTGGCTGGGATGAAACTCCAGGTGGAAAATTGTCACTGAGAATTATGAAGCTGTGGCCTGTCTTCCTGCACCGGTATTTCTGTTGAGAAGTCTCCTGCCTTCTTGTTTCAGGCCTTGAAAGCTCTTAGGGGCTTTTTATCGATGATTATTTTGCAGTTTCTTTCCTATCGTATTGCTAGGTGCTCGATGGGTGATGTGACTGTGGAACGAGTCAGTAAGGCAGTCGCTGTTTTTGTAACTGTTTTTGTAAATATTTTATTGGAACGCTGCCATGCCCACTTGTTTGCGTACTGTCTGGGCCTACTTTTGCAGTCGGTCCAATAGCATACTTATGATAGGCAGTGTGGCCCCAGCCCAAATTGTCTTACTATTTGGCCCTCTACAGAAAACAATTGCGACTTATGCTGTGTCCCCTGTTTCAGAGATGCTGTGGTCACTGTGCCTCACATATCTTTTACCTTCCTCTAGTGGTTTAATTTCTTTATCTTAGAACCTGCATTCTTTAATTATCTTGAGCCCTCTGTCAGTACTTTTTACTAGCACCTGTTCTGCTCATTACTGTTTTTAATTTATCACCATTGTGATATTTTGATCCTCAATTTCCTTGCTGTGTCTGCAGTCTGCCTTTAATCTCTTTGCTTTTGTGTTCTTGTTACAATGAGTTTATATTATCATAAGTCACTCTACAGTGGAAAGCAGTTTCTTTTTGGTTCTTGGTTGTTTTCTCTTCACACTGTCCCTCTGGTCCGATTGTCATTGCAGTTATGCTGCACCAGTGTTTCCTGGCCCAGTGCACGCACTTGGCACTCTCTGCAGACGTTGCGTGTGCCCTGATTTGTCCTGGAGATGAGTCGGTTTTTCTCTCCTGGCTAATTCCTGAGAATAGGGTATTGTGGTGCCACTCGCTGTTCAATGTGCTGAGGGAACTGGGGGCCACTATGATGATGTCCCCTGACCCTTGTTTCCCTTCTGAGATTCCAAAACAAAGTCCTCAGCAGGGAGGGATGGGATGGGTCTTCATTCTGTCAGACACCACAGAGGTAGTGGTCTCACTTCTCAGCAGTGAGAAGAGGGAGGAGTTAGACACCTTCTGCCTTGGATGGCTGCTTCTGCGCCTGGGAGGTTGATAGGCTATGTCCAGGTTCATCTCCCAGTTCTGTTCTGTGGTGTGGGGCACTGGGGGCTCTCCTTGTTCCCTGCCTGACATGTCTTTTCTAGTCTGACCCCTCTGGTTAGTTCATGGGGTTGGTTCATATGCTCCTTCCCCAGCTGGTTGTTGTCGCCGTTTACCTGTGTCCCATCTTTCTGGGGTCTGCTCTATGGGCAGAGGGCAGCGCTGGGTGTGACCACTCCCCAGAGGCTTGTGTGCCTTCTGGCTTCCTCTGTGTTTGCTCCCTGTCTGGTCTTTTCTCTGCATCCTCTCTCTCTCGAATTTTTTATTTTCACTCTCATGCTTCTGATTTCCCATTCTTGAGTTATTCCTTCCTCAGAGCACCTTGTTCTTGTATCCTGGATGCAGCACCTTCTCTCAGATGCAGCTTTTTGCTTGTAGAGTTATGTCAACCTTAAAAATAAAATAGCCTCTTATTTTTCCAGCAAAATGAGTTTATTCGGGATTAGCAGAGGAAGTGCAGTTAGGGACATGCAAACCATGGTGAAACCATAGGCAAGTCCTGAGAACAGAGGAGAGGAACTGCTCTTATGGAGGAAAAGAGGGAGTTGGAGGGGCTGTTTTGAGCAGAGATTCCTTGGACGAGAGCTAGAGTTTGGGTAGTGGTAGCTTCTCATTGGCTGAGTGTGGTGGTTTCTCATTGGCTGGGCTGTTTCTCAGCAAGGAAAATCTTCCTGATGGGGCATGTGAAGTAAGCTTCTTCCTGCTGGAGTCTGCAGAAGACAGTGGGTGGCAGTGTGTGAGAGCTCCCCCTTCAGAGTTTCACGATTCCTATTTTAATGACGTTTTTACTCATTTTCACACTTTTTAAAGCAGTTTTAGGTTCACAGCATAATTGAGAGGAAGGTACAGAGATTTCCCACATACACGACCTCCCCCACGATCAGCATCCCCTCCCAGAGTGGTGCATTTGTCTCAGCACAGACACATCACCATCCAGAGTCCATAGTGTACATTAGGGTCACTGTTGGTGCTGTACCTTCTGTGGGTTTGGACAAATAACTGACATGGATCTACCACTGTGGTCTCACACAGAGTAGTCTCACTACCCTGAACATCCTCCGTGTTCCGCCTAGTCATCCCTCCCCTCCCCACAATCGCTGACAGCCATAGGTCTTTTACTGTCTCCATAGTTCTTGCCTTTGCCGTAGAATGGCAGGCAGTTGGAATCATCCAGTGTGTGGTCTCCTCTTTCACTTAGTAACACACAGGTATGGTTACTCTGTCTTTTCATTGCTTGATGGCTGATTTCCTCTTAGTGCTGAGTAATATTCCATCAAATGGATGTAGCACAGTTTATTCACTCACCTATCAAAAGGACATCTTGGTGGCTCCCAAGTTTCAGCAATTATGGATAAAGCAAGTGTAAACATCCACGTGTAGGTTTGTGTGTGGACGTACGTTTTCAGCTCCTTTGGGTCAGTACCAAGGAGACCAATTGCTGGGTCATGTCGTAAGAGTTAGTTCTGTAAGAAACTGCTAAACTCTTCCAAAGTGGCTACAGCATTTTGCATGCCTATCAGCAGTAGCTGAGAGGTCCTTTTGCTCCACCTCCTTGCCCACATTTGGTGTCATCAGTGTTCCAGATGTTGGTCATTCTAGTAGGTGTATAGTGATAGCTCATTATTTTAATTTGCATTTCCCTGAGGACATGTGATGGGGAGCATCTTTTCATGTGTGCATTTGCCATCTGTGTATATCTTCTTTAGTGAGGTATCTGTCAAGATCTTTGGCCCATTTTTAAGTCCAGTTGTTTGTTTTCATATTATTGGGTGTCCTCATCCTGGCTGGACCACTCCATCTAGCCCCAACCCCCTAGCTATGTCTAACTGCACTAGCCTCTCTTCTGTTCTTACCTGTCTGAAGGACCTGTGCACTTTATCTGATCACCACATCAGAATCTTGGGGTCGTTTAGGTAGACGTGGGCTCGGGGTGGTTCTGGGCGACCTTTGGGAGGCGAAGGTGGGCGTGGTTAGGTGTGGCCTCACTGGCCCCTTCATACTTTCCAGCTCCAGAGCACCCCTCCTGAAATTCACGTGCGCCCCTTCTGGCTGTGCCTAGGACCCTGACTTCTGGGTAGTTTCCAGGGCTGGAGGCCACAGGTTCTGTCTTCAGGGTGGGCATTGGTGCCTTTCTGCCTCACCTTGAGTGCCTGATGCCACTGTGGTCCCTGGGCCTGCCCTTTGGTATGTGCATGGCCATGTGGGGGTGGGTTCTTGTGGTGGCCGAGAGGTTTCCTGTGTATACTGTGCTGCTTAGTAGTAGTGGAGGCAGGAGGGCCTGAGGCCCGGCTCTGCTTACTGGTCTCATGGTGCGCCCCGATGTGTGCTGCTGCCTTCTCCCGCAGGGTCCCCAAACACGCTGACCAGGAGCCCACCTTCCTCCTGGAGTGTGACAGCTCAGTGCTAGACGCACTGCAGAAGCACCTGGTGCTGCACAAGATCCGGCGGAAGGTCACGGTGGAGCCGTGCCCTGAGCTGCACGTTTGGGCCGTGCTGCCCCGTGACCCGGAGGAGGCCAGTGGGGCCACACTGCTGCAGGAGCACAAGGGTACTGCCATACTCACCTGTGACCCCCGCACTGCTCGCATGGGCTGGCGGCTCCTTGCTCAGGACAAGGGCTCTACCCTGGTGCCTGGGGGCCAACTCGGGGACCTCCGGGATTATCACCGGCACCGGTACCTGCAAGGTACGGGTGCCAGGCAGGAGGGTCAGGGAGGGCAGGGGCTAGGTGGGAGGGTGGGAATGCAGGGCCAGATCCTAGAGAGGCACTAGGAAGAGCCACTGGGGAGAGCAGGGCTCCGGTCAGGCAAGGTGCCATCTCTAGCAGGTGGGATGAGGGCCAGACAGCTGTTCACCAGGGGACCAGAGCAGGGGGCAGAGGGTGGATAACTATGGAGGTGGTTTGGGCTGCACCGCTCTCCTTGGCTGAGCCCTGGCTCTGGAGGACACCTCAGCCCTCACCAAGCTTCTCCCTTCCTTCCCCTACAGGCGTTCCTGAGGGAGTCCATGACCTGCCCCCAGGAGTGGCCCTGCCCCTGGAGTCCAACCTGGCCTTCATGAATGGTGTCAGCTTTACCAAGGGCTGCTATATAGGCCAGGAGCTGACAGCCCGCACCCACCACATGGGTGTCATCCGTAAGCGCCTCTTTCCGGTGCAGCTCTCGGGTCCCCTCCCTGCCAATGGCATCTCCCCTGGTACTACGGTGCTCACCGAGTCTGGACAGGCAGCTGGCAAGTACAGGGCCGGCCAGGGAGACGTGGGGCTAGCCTTGCTGCATTCAGAGAAAATCAAGGGCCCTCTGCATATCAGAACTGCTGGGAGTGGCCGGGTGGCCTTGACTGCATCTGTGCCTGACTGGTGGCCCACAACCACCAAGTAGCGTGGACATCCCTGTGCTCCCACTGAGGGCCTCTATCTCTTTGCACACCTGCAGGCTGGCTCCCACTTCCCAGGGTTGCCCTGTGGAATGCACACCCCCTTGGAAGGTCCTCGAATATACATGGGGCTCTTGGGGCTGTGGGTGCAGTAGGCATACTGCTGCTCTAGGCCTTTCCCGAAAGCCCACCATGCTTCTGCAGAGACACTGGTCTGTGCCAGGGGCAGCAGGAGCAAGCCCTGTGCCTACCTCTGTGCCGAGCTGAGTCCTATCCTCCAGCACACCCCAGACGAGGACCTAAACCATGTTGGTCTAGAGGCCGTTTGTCCATCAGCCAACGATAGGAGAGAGGACCTGTGCTCCTGAGCCTTCCCCGCCACCCGTACCACTCAGCTTGCTCTGGGGCAGGCCTGGGACTGAGGCAGTGCAGCCTCTGGTTGGCAAGGGGCAGGCGGCTCTGGAAATTGTCTTCTGTGTGGGTTTGGGGCAGGTCTCAGGGCGGGAATTGTGTGCAGTGGTATCATGGTGGTATATGTGCATGGAGGCACGCACCGCCCCTAAACACCACAAAAGGTTCTCCAGGTACACCATTGCGTTCGGTGCTGGCTGTGGAGCCCTGGACCTCTTCATGGTGGTGCTGCAGCTTGGCAGCGTCTGCCCCTGGCGTCCTGGGCAGCCCCTCCCGGAGCCTGCATGATCTCGGTGGGCCGCCTGCAGGGAGGGCTTCAGCTTGATTTCCTGCTGCTCTTTTATGATGTGGTGTGCCTTCATGGTAAGGAGACCATGCTGACATCCATCCTCCCACTCAGTGTGAATGTCATGTTTATGGGTGACCTGCTCATACTCCAGAGCAACTATTAAAGTTTGATCCACAAGTGGCCCTCATGGGATTCTGGTTTCATTTTGGGTGGAAGGCACCAGGACTTGGTTTTGGGTAGACGATACATTGAGAAGCTCTCCCTTCAGCAGCCAAGCACACCAGTTAAAATATTTTAGTAAGAGTTCCTGGCTTGGCTGGGCTGACAGTAAGGTAAGAGGCCTTAGAGGCTGGGACAGGGAGGGAGCACCTAGGGGCTCTGAGCTGTGGTCATTGGCAAGGAGGCAGCCACGGCCTGCCCCGAGCAGAAGGCTAAGCCCACAAGGAGGCATCCTGGTGCCAGGTGGGGTGCAAGACCCCACCTAGAACCTGCAGCCAAATGCAGCTTAGAGTCATCCCAGGAGGAGATGGGGTGAACCTGAGGAGAAGGGGGCCCAGAGAGTGACTGGGCCATTGAGGGTGGGGGAGATGGGGATGTGGCCCCAGCCAGCCACACAAGGCAAGGCACCCCTCAGGCAGTGCTGTCCTCCAATACTGAAAGCAAGTGGTCAGGCCAGGCTGTACTGTCCTGAGGCACATCTCCTGGGGTGAACAAAATTGAGGTAGGTCAGCCTCTGGACAGGAATGGTGTTCTCACAGCACATAAAGAACTCAGGAGTGCTTGTGCTGATGGAACTATGGTGACTGTCCCACCCTGGCCAAGACCAGAATAGCCCTCTGTCCCGGCTCTGCCTTTGGCACCCTCTTCTCATGTTCTCTTTTACTGAAAATCGGGTAACAGAGGTAATATGTTAACCGGAAACTGCATCAGTCACTTCTCCCCACCCGTAGGAAACAATTCATAATTCACTAGCACATGTGATGTGGCAGTTTCAGCCCCTCTGGCTGGTTTGTACACTGATGCTGAGATGGCTCAGGGTTCCACTTCTTTTTGTGTCTGTGTGACCGAATCCTGGAGGCCAGCCTTGCAAGCCAGGCTACCCTTCTTTGGAAGTGCTCCTGGGCTGGCACCTGCTGTGTGCTGCAGGTGCTTAGGCTTCTCAGTGGGCACTGGTGTCTGCAGCATGTCAGTGCTGGTGGCAGGAGCGAGCTGTGAGTAAGTGAGAGCAGACGCTGGCCTTGGGGCTTTTCAGCACGGGGACCTCCTCTGACCGTCTCCAGGGTTTTCCAGGTAACCTAATGGGGACCTGAAAATATTTGGCTCAGACCCAAATGCGTGTTCCAGGTTCTACCTTGGTACTTTCAGAAGATGGCTGCTGCACTGACAAACCACGTAAGCCTTCAGAAACTTACAGAAGGCTCAGCATTGTAGGAGTACTTAGAGCCGCCCCTGGCGGCAGTGGGTCCCATCCTCACATCTGCCTTCAACTTCATTAAAATAATCTGTGAACTGCTGCAGGTGCCCAGAAGGATCTTTGCCCCTTTTCATACCTGCTTTAGTTCGTTTTATAGAAAGTGTAAATTTCTAAAAAAAAAAAAAATAAGTAATCATAGCTAAAAGAAAAACGCCCTGGGTGGCAGTGTTTCTAGGAGCCTGGTGGTGTGTGTAAGCCTTCCTTTGGAAACCCACGTCCACTTCAGGCCTTACATAGAGAAGGTTCTAAGGAATAAATAAGCCTTTGTTGCTAAAAAACCGAAGAACCCAGAAACACTCATTTAACCCTCAAAGAAACAAGGTCAACAGAAAAGCCCATACATTTTCAGATAGCGAAGTAACCAGACAGATTAAATGTATATTTAATATATTTTAAAAAATCATAAATAAGAGTGCAGAAGCAAATTTACAGAAATAAAATATTTT